CCCCCGCTCCCTGGCGGAGTGCAGGTCTCAGGCCGGAACTGGAGTGTTCCTGCATGCAGCGGGGAGTGCGGGGAGCCCTCCCCACACCCGCCTTCCAAGCTCGAATCATGCCCCAGCCCCTTCGGAGGGGAGGCCGAGGGTCCCAGGGAGCGGGCACCCCGTCCCCCCACCCCCACAAAGGCCCCTCTCCTCGGCAGTAATAAAGTCCGTGCTCGAGGCCGACCCGGTGTGTGTGCCCCCCCTCCCTCCCCTCCATGTCCGCTGAAATGCTTCTCCGCTCCTGCCTCCGCTGCTCAGCGAGGCGCCCTGGACTCACAACCCTGAGACCCGGGAGGCCCTGCTGTCCACAAGTGCCCCACCCAGCCAGTTCCTGGCCACGGGTTCCCCAGCTGTCGAAGGAAGAGTCCGGCTGGGCAGGTAATCGTGACGGTGATGATGGAAACGGCGGACACGGGTGAGCCCTGCAAGGTCTTCTGTGCCTCCAAGGAAGGCAAATCACTACCCCGATTTTGGCAGATGGGGAAGTCGAGGCCCAGAGGAGTGAAGGGTCACCCTACCGGCAAGGGGCGTACTCCAGAACCCACACCCTCCACCACCTCTGCCGCCTGCCGTCGGTCCACCCAGAACCCACACACACCTGCAAAGTCCGTCCTGTCACTGTTCACCAAGGACCCGCTGGGCACCCCTCCCCCCTCCAAGGGGATTGTTGCTTGCAAGAGGAACCCCTCTGGGAGCAGGAGGAAGGAGTCACATTCCCAGCCCAGAATGGTGGCCGGCCAGTGACCTCACTCTCGTGGCCTCAGCCTCCAACTCTGGTAAATGGGACCCAGGACTTGGCCCCTTTTCTGATTGAAGGAGACCCCGTGGGAACGGAGCTTAAACCATTTTTCAGGCAACCGATGGCAAGGGCCACCTTGTCTCCCCATCCCTCCCCCCTGCACAGGCCAGGTGCTCAGCGAACTGTGAGTTGTGGCCACTCACTAGGTGTTTTGCAAAACCGACCACAGCAACATTTCTGTTCCCACACGCTTCCAGAACGTCCCCACCCCTCCCTCGAAAGGCAGATCGAGAGGCGAAATCCGCATTCCCTTTCACTGAATTCGGGTGGCTTTTGTAACACTATAGGATCTCCATGGCTAGGTTACAAAAGGTGGCAGGTCCCGTGCCCCCCGCCCCGGGCTCACCGGTTCACTCAGCAGCCGCGAGTGTGGGACAGCAGGCGACTGGCAGCACCGACTGCGCAGATTCACGAGCGAGACAGATCACCGTGTTTGCCGTGAAGCTTTAGGGTCATTTATCATGCAGCAATGGGCAACTGGAAGGTTAAGGAAAAGCAAGCCGCTGAATAAGTGTTGGCTGGAACGCTTCTACTCTGTCCTGCGCCCACACACAGGGATTGCTCCAGAAATTTGCAACCCGACCGCCACGGGGCCGGGCAGCAGCAGGGACAAATCGTGGGTGAGGCCCCTGCCCACACTCGGCTCGTAGACAGGTGGGCCATCTGCATCAGGTGCATACCTGTCCCGGAGCCCAGGCAGGTGGGGGCCTCAACGCTCAGCTCTGCGGTCACTCCTTCATGACCTCGGAAGCTGAGGCGGGCACTGCGTACTGGGTCACCCCGCCCTGCTGCCCCCGCCCCGCTGCCCCGGCTCACCGCCGCCCCTCTGCAGGGGAGCCACGCTGCCCAGGAAGCTCCACTCCTTCTGGGGCAGGCATTGCTAGTGAGTGATGGCCAGAGGGTATAAAAGCCAGCCCCTTTGCCTCAGGTGGAGCTAATTTGGGGGCAGCTCATGTTCCGGAGCCCCCCAGAATAGAGGGAGGCCAAGTCCAGCCAGGACAATTGCCCTGCCCCATCCAGCCTCGCCCGCTGCCTCCCTGAGTCACCATCATGCGTGGTCTTAGGTCCGGAAGTCCCCCTTCGTTACGACCCCGGCTTGGTCTCTGCCAGCCGCCAGAGTCCAGGGAAGCTGACACGACGTTCGCACCTGGCCTCAACCTCCTAGCAGTGTGGACCATGGGACACTACAAACCTCCCCCTTCTGGAAACACCCCCTTGCCCACTCTCTAAATGCTCCTGCCCCGCCCCGCAGCGGCCTCCTCCTCTTATCTCAGCTTTGGGGGTCGGGGGACGTGGCCCCCCAGCTCTGTCCAGGGCCTCTCCTCACACATCCTCCTCACTTAGAATCTCACCGGCCTGAGGCATCTATTGCCGCCCGGACGCCAGGGTTCTCAAAGTCGTGGCTTGGACCCCTTGCCTTGCTCTGCTCCAGCCTTCGAGAACCAGCCACATACCTAGGACTTCTGGAGACATCCCAAGGACACCCTAGGCCTGCTGTATCTGGGACTGAGCCTCTAGCTGACCTCCCAACCCTGGGGCTCCCCTGGAGTTTGTGGCCTCTGTGGAAGCCCCCTGTCCACCCGGGTCTGGGGGAGTGGCTGGATGCCTCTCCCCCTCAGCTGGCCCTTTTCTGGAACAGCAGGTGACTCCTGGATGGCCAATGAGATGCAGCCCTGGGATTGTGACACACTTGAGCTGGGAGGGCCTGGCCTGAGTTCTGGAGCCGTTACACCACCACAAGTCCTGTGAGCAAAGTCAGCACTCAAGAAAGCTGACCCAGGAGACTCCCCAGCTCCCTGTCTTGCCTCTGTCCCCTCACTCTGTCTCAGGCACACCAGTCTCTGGCTGGAGCAACTTGTCCCCACCTCAGGGCCTTTGTATGTGCTAGCCCGTCTCTGTAACACTGTTACTCCAGACCCACATGGCTCACTTCCTCCCTTCGTTCTGGTCTCTGCTCAGATGCCACCTCCTGAGGGACACCTCCCCTGACCACTCTCCAAACCAACCCTCCAACCACTCCTGTTGCTAGTGCCTCACCATACTGTATTTTTCTTCTTGGCAATTATTGCTACCAAAAATCGCTATTTATTTACCGATTTGTTTATGGCCTCTCTCCCTACCTCTCCAAAGGTGGGTGGCTTTGCTAGTCCTGTTCTCTGTAGCCCCAGGGCCTAGATCTGTGCATGGAAGTCATGAATCAACCAACTTTCCAGCGGAAGAATCTGAAGCTTACAGAGCCAAGTGTATTCAATTCCCACGACTGTTGTTACAAATCACTGAATTCAGTGGCTTAAAGTTACACACGCTGGTTCTCTGACAGCCCTGGGCTCACAGGTCCTAACTCCCAGGTGTAGGCAGGGCTGGCTCCCCCGGGGGCCCCATCTCCTCGGTTTTCCGGCTTCCAGAGGTGCCGTCCTTGGCCCATGGCCCCTCCTCATCCTCAGAGCCAGAAGCACGGGGTCTGCCCATCTGTCTGACTTTGGTCCTTTGGGAATGGGGTAGATTACACAGGGCCCAACCACCGTGATTACCCAAAATAATCTCCCATCTCAAGATTCTTCTTCTTTTTAATGTAAGCTTTATGCCCGACGGACTCCAACTCATGACCCTGAGATCGAGTCGCATGCTCCAGCCAGGTGCTCTCTTCCCATCTCAAGATTCTTAATCTCATCTGCAAAGTCCCTTTTGTCCCGCGAGGTGGTATAGTCACAGGCTCTGGGATTAGGGTGTGGACGGCTATGGGAGGTGAGGGGGGCATTATTCCCTCCCACAGTAAGTGACCGGCCCCATGGCACAACCAGGAAAAGGCAGGGCTGACCTCGAAGCCAGTTCTATTGCATCCAGAGCACACTGGCCTTGAAGCCTCTGTCTAAGGACTCCATTTCCCTCTACCCTTGAGGGGCCACATTCTCTCCTGTCCGTCCTTTTATTCCACTCCTGCAGTCCCTGCCTCCTGAGATCACGTCTTCCTTCTCAACCGGCATGATTGCAGCAAAATGCCATCGTATACCTCTCCATAACATCTTCAACGCCCATGCTAAGAGTTTTCCAAGTATTCTCTCATGTAACTCATTTTACAGATAGAGAAACTGAGACCTGGCTTAGCATCCCAGGGCCATTTCCAAGGTCAGAGCAGAACTTAGGTTTGAATGCAGGGTGCTCCTGTGGCACGTGATGGGAGGCCCACATCAAACTGGCTTCGTAAGAACGAAAGTAATTTATCAGCTTGCACCTCTGGAGCATTCAGAGGTCAGCATGGCTGCATCCAGGAGCACACACAGGGTCATCAGGATCCTCGAGTGCCACCTTTGTTCGTAGGGCTTGTGGTGATAAGACGGTCCCCTAACCTCAGGCCAGGTCCTCACTCAGTCACCCCAGCCCAGTGTTCTCAGAAAAAGTCCCAGAGCTGCATCTCATTAGATGGTTAGCCACATGCTGTTCCTGAACCAACCAGTGCAGCCAGGGGCTTGGAACGCTCTGTGGGGGTGCCCCGTCCCGGCCTCGGGGGGGGGGGGGGGGGGGGGGTCAGTCCAATTTGAACCTTACAGACTAAGAATGAGAAGCCCCTAAGGGAAAATCAAGGTGCTGTGGACACCCCAGATGACCAGCACTCCAGGATATTTCAGAGCCCAAGGAGCAGGCTTTCCTGGGGGATGAGGCCCCATGTGGCACCTGCTGGAGCAGCCATAAACTTGGTACCTCCCTTGACCTCTCCAAGGCCACCCCGCCCACCCAACACTTTGTGGGGCTGTGGGGATTACGTAGGGAGATCCTGGGAAGCCTCTCTGTAAGAATCACGATTAGCTCTCACGACCGTTTATCTGTAAGCTACCACACTCCAACGCCGACACTGCTGCTATAGGCAGAGAATGAGCGTCAGAGTGCACTTGGCACAGGGTACACAGTCCTTTTTACAGCTGAGGGGCCCACTCCACACGCCTCCAAGGAGGGCAGAGGTTCTGAGACTCGAAGCCCAGAGCCCCCTTTATGGATGAGACAGTCAAAGCCCCAGGTTTGGGTCAGCCATCTGAAGCTCAGCTCTGCCCGGGGTTCCTTCTCAGAGCACCCTGACTCTCTCCCCTGTGGAGACGTTGCTCACCTTGCCCCAGACAGGTTTACACCTGCCTGTCCTCAGCTGGGACACCTGGAGGAGGGCCGAGCCCAAGGTGTTGCAGCTATTGGCTGCCCCTGACACCTGCCAACAAGGCTACAGGCACATCCCAGGGCGGGACCACAGCAGGGGCCACTGGCCCAACGCCCACTCTCATGGGGAGCGGTCACCCTGAGGTTGTGCAGGATGTTGGCCTGGGCACCACGTCTGACCCTCATGCCCAAGTGTCCCAGCAAGGGCTGTGTGTCTAGGCCTCGGACCAGCCAGATCTGAGCTCAGCCACGGTCGGAAGGACACGCTGGGGTGGAAGGTCAGTCTACGATTCGGGTACAAGCAGGGCTCAGCCGAGGGTGGGACTCAGGCGGGGGCTTCGGCCAGGATGGGTGCTGAATCAACACTGCCGAATGAAACCGGAAAGCGGAGGTGCACTGATCTCCCCAGCTTCCCTGGGGAGCAGTGTCTTGCCCATCTCTGGATTCCAGTTCGTCGGACCGAATTGAGCAGGGAGGTCACTCCTCACCTCTGCCTCGAGAAACTGAGGCACCGCCCAACGAGGACCGGGTCTGCGGACCCCAGACACTGCCTCACCCCACCCTCCCGCCTACCCACTGCCGGCCGGGCCGCCCTTTCCACTCGCTCAGAACCGCCGGAGAAGGGAATCCGCCTCCGTCCTCCTTTCCCGGGCCAAAGGACCCCGCCCCCGGCCCCACCCCGTGCTGGGACGTCATAAAAAAGACCCCAAAAGCTCAGCGGCCCGTGCCGGGACGACGCAGCCCAACCCTGCCCGCCTCCCCGCGCACAGGCGTCCTGGGTGCTAGTCCGAGAGGCGGGCGGCGGCGGCCTCCCGGGGGTCGAAGGCTCCAAGGCGCCTGCGCGCTTGGCCCCTCCCCCTCCCCGCGGTTGCGCCTGCGCACTCGGCGGGCCGGGGGCGGGGACTCCACTTCCCGGCGTGTCCCGCGGGCGGGCGCGCAGGTGCGGTCCGGGCCCGGCCGCCGCG